TTGTTGAACATTTTTGTTATACATTTCTCTGCTGTTTGTGTTTCCTTCATCTGAGAAGTGTGTTTTCATTTTCAGATGCCCATTTTTTGATTGGGTCTTTAAATTTGAGAGGGCTGGTTTTTTTTTTTTGAGTCCTTTATATGTTCTCAAGAGTAACCCTTTGTCAGAGGAACAGCTGGTAAACATTTTTTCCCACATTGTGAATTGTTTCTTTACTCTGTTAGTGACTTCTTTTACAGTACAAAAACTTTTTAGGTTGGCCAGTGGATTAAATCGCTTTCTTAGGCAGACACAGGGACTGGGTTGGATCCCCAGCCTGCTGTGCTGGCCCCACCCCTGGAGCATGTGAGACAGCCATTTAGACTGGGCATGGTGGTGGGTGCCTATAATTCTAACACTTAGGAGGCTGAAATCAGGAGGATCACTGTGAGTCCAATCTGTGTAGTGAGACCCAGTAGACCTTGTACTAAATACAACAAAATAAAACAAGACTTTTTAATAAGATGAGATCCCGGTTGTTGATTCTTTGTGATAGTTCCTGTGTGATCAGGGTTTTATTCATAAAGTCTTTACTTACTCCAGAGTCTTCAAGAGCTTTACCTATTCTATCATCCAATGCATTTATTGGTTCTGTTTTTTTTCTTTCTTTTGCAGGCGCTTGTGCCACTGAGCTATGTCTCTGGCCCTCTGTTTCAATATTTGGATCTTTGATCCATTTCAAATTTAGTTTAGTGCATAGTGAAAAATGTGGGTCCAGTTTTAATCATCCGCATGGGCAGAGCCAGTTTTTCTAGCGCTATTAGAGGCTTTCCTTCAGTGAATGTGTTTGGCACCTTTGTCAGAGATAGGGTGGCTGAGTATGTCTGGAGTTGTTCATCTTCTAGTCTATTCCATTGATTTTTAGGGCCTTTTTCTCACACTACTGTGCTGTTTCTATCACAGTAGCTTTATAGTATGATTTCAAGTTGGGGGTTGTGATGCCCTGCCCCCTGCCTTGACTTTGTTGCCCAGAATTGCCTTTGCTGTCCTGGTCTTCTGGTTCCAAATGAATTTTAGGATTATTTTTTCTAGCTCTGTGAGATATGCTATTGGAATTTCATCAGAATTGCATTAAATCTGTATAACAGCTTTGGAGCTATGGTCATTTTCACTATATTGGTTTTTCCTATCCAAGAGTAAAGGATATCTTTCCATTTTTTTATATCCACTTCAATCTCCTTTTTCAAAGTCTTGTAATTTTCAATGTAGAGTTCTTTTACATCCTTTGTTAGATTGACTCCCAGGTACTTCATTTTTTTTTTGTTTGTTTGTTTTGTTTGTTTGTTTGTTTGTTTGTTTTTTGGATGTGATTGTGAAAGGTGTTTCCCTTATTTCTCTCTCAGTGAGTTTGTTATTTTTACACAGGAAGGCTATTGACTTTTGAGTGTTGACTTTGTATGCAGCTGTGCTACTAAATTTGCTTATTAAATCTGGCATTTTTGGCTGGGGAGACAGGGGCATAAGCACCTGCCTAGCAAGCACAAGGTCCTGAGTTCAATTCCTGGTAGAGAAAAAAAAAAATTAGCAGATTTTTTAGTGGAAATATGGGGTCTTCTATGTAGAATATCATGTCATCTGCAAATAATGATAATTTAACTTTTCCTTTTCCTATCATTATTCCTTTTATTTCTTTCTCTTGTTTAATTGCTCTGGTTAATGTTTTCAGGTCTGTATTGAATAGGAGTGGAGACAGTGGACCTCCTTGTCTTGTTCCTGATTTTAGAGAGAAAGCTTTCATTTTTGTCCATTTAGTATGATATTGGCTGTTGGTTTGTTGTAAGATGGCTTTTATCAGATTGAGATAAAGAGCGTCTATTCCAATTCTCTGGGGTTTTTAGTATGAGTGGGTAGCTGGACTTTGTCAGAAGCTTTATCTGCTTCTCTTGAGATGATCATATGATTTTTGTCCTTGGCTATATTAACATGGTGTATTACATTTATTGATTTAATCATCTTGATGACTTGCTGCATTTTGTGTCTTGTTGATGAGTTTTGTATCTGTGTTCATTAGGGAGATAGACCTGAAATTCTCTTTTAGTTGGATCCCTCTCTGATTTTGGTATCAGGGTGATGCTTGCTTCCAGGAATGAATTTGAGAGTATTGCTTCTCTCTTTTTTTTTTTTTTTAAAATTTATTTATTTATTTATGTGTGTGTGTGTGTGTGTGTGTGTGGCCAGCTCAGCCCACCAGGGGGCGGGGCTGGCATGTGGTGCTGGGGGATTGAACCGCGGTCCCTGTGCTTTGCCAAGCTTGTTCCACGTAGGTGCGTTAGACCACTGAGCCATCTCACCAGCCCAGTATTGCTTCTCTTTCAATTTCATTAAAGAGTTTGAGAGGTAGTGATGTTAGGTCTTCTCTAAATTTCTTGTAGGATTTGGCAATGAATCCATTAGGGCCTGAGCTTTTCTTTTTTGGTACGTTTTAAATTACATCTTCCATTTCACTGATTGATATTGGTTTATTTAGGATTTTTGTATCTTCTTAATTTAGCTTTGGTAACTCATATGCATCTAGGAATCTGCCTATTTCTTCTGCATTTTCCATCTTATTAGAATACAAGTTTTCAAGGTGGGTATAGATGATCTGGATTTCTGAAGGTTGCATTATAATTTTGCTCTTTTTGTTCTTAATTGTGTGGATTTGACTTTTTTTCTTTCCTTTTTTGGGGGGATAAAGTTAGATAAGGGTTTTTTCAGTTTAATTTAATCCTTCAAAGAACCAACTCTATGATTCATTAATTCTTTGTATTATTTTCTTAGTCTCCTTCATACATGCTTTTGCCTTGGCTTGCTCTTCTTTTTTTTAGATGTTGAGGTTCACTGTTAAGTTGTTTATTTGTATTTGCTCTGTTTTCCTGATACAAGTATTCACTACTATAAATTTCCCTCTTAGGGCTGCTTTCATTGTATCCCCTAAATTCCAGGATGTTGTATTGTCATTATCATTTAATTGTAGAAACCGTCAAATCTTCTTTAACTTCATTTGTGACCCTTTGGTTGTTTAGGAAGGTGCTATTTAATTTCCATGTGTTAATGAAGTTCTTGTGCTTCTTTTGCCATTTCCAGTTTCACTGAACTATGGTCTGGTAATATGCATGGGATAATTTCAGTTTCTTTCCATTTACCTAAGCGTGTTCTATAAGCTAATATATGTCTATTTTGGAGAACATCTTGTGTACAGCTGAGAAGAATGTATATTCTGGTGCTGTAGAGTGGAACGCTCTGTAGACATCTACTAAGTCCATTTGTTCAGAAGTTTGGTTCAGTTCTAATATTTCACTTTTATTTTATTTTTGTCTAGTTGACTTGTCATTTTGTGATACTAGGGTATTGAGATCCCTCCGTACAATTGTTAGTGCTTATTTGATTTTTCATGTCCAGTGATACTTGTTTTATGTAGTTGGATGCACTGGTGTTTGGTGCATATATATTTATGATTGTTGTCTCATCCTCTTGGATTGCTCCCTTTTGTTATGGTCTGTGTATAGTTGTCCCCCCAAAGCCTCATGCAGTCATGGGCGGCTTCTGGAGTTTGTGATTGATTATTGTGGGTGTGGCTGCTGCACCTGCCCTGGGGCAGGTAATTTGCATTACAGTGTGAGGAGGGGAGACTAGCTAGCTGCTTGAGCTGCAGCCCCTCCCTTTGCTTTTTGCTTTTTGCCACCACCATGAGCAGTTGCCCTCCGCCGTGTGCCACTCTCTACCTTGGAGCCAGCTGAAACCTCCAGTAACTGTGAGCTAAATAAACCTTTCCTTCCTTCATTTTGGGAGTTGGGTATTTGTCCCAGCAATGAGAGAAGAGTAACTGAGACACCTTTACAAGGTTACAGTGACCTTCTTTAATTAATCTTGGCTTGAAATTCACTTTGTCTGCAAATAGAATAACTCCCCCTGATTTTTTTCAGGCTTCCTGTCACATACAGTATTGTTTCCCATCCTTTGACTTTCAGTCTATGAATTTCTTTTCAAATTAAATGTGTTTCTTGTGTGTCAGATATTGTTGGATCTTGCTTGACCCATTCTGTTGGTCTGTGTCTTTTGACTGGTGAACTGAGACTGTTAACACTGATGGTTGTAACTGATATGTACTGCCTTGTCCTTGTCATGTTATTTTCCTGTTATTGGCTCCCCATCTTTTTTTTCCCTCTCCTTCCGTTTAATTGTTTACCTTGCAGATTCCAAAGACTAGTTTAGTTAATAAGGACACAGATATAAACCAGAGCCAGCTTACACATTTGTCTTCTATTGAGCATTCCATTACATTCTATGTAATGACGATCCTCTAGATTTGTCCCTTGAACCCAGCAAGGCATAGGATGTACAGACAGCGTCTCTTGATTAGCTTCTACTTGCCTTTGTGCGTCCTTAATACGTGGCATTTTTCATATGCTTGGTTACAGACCAGCTGTGGAAAGTAGTTTTCTCTCTTTGGTTATTCCACGTGTTTGCTAGGTTTGCATTATTACCCAAGCTAATTTATTTTTCCTTTGCAGACCTTCCTAAATCCTCATTATGGAATAAATCTGGTGTCAGCATATATAATCATGGTGGTCATGGCCATCTGGGCATTTTTTGTTGCTGGAGGCAGCTGCCGAAGCCTGAAACTCTGCCTGCTCTGTCAAGACAAGGACTTTCTTCTTTACAACCAGCGCTCCAGATAACCTCCGACAGTCAGCGCCTCCCAAAGAGCAGGCTGCGTCTTTAGAGGAAGCACAACTGTGCCTTTTTCTAAAAAAAAAAAAAAAAAAAAAAAAATTTTTCCTGGTGGAATTTAGAAACATGAAACTAGATAGGAATTTGGTTCCCGTGGCTTTCAAGCAACAGGTCTCTGAAAGGGAAGTGTCCGGTGGGCTGCTCCTTGGCTGCGCGTGAGTCACCTGGGGCTTCATAAAGAATTCTGGTTGTGGCTTGGTGCTGCAGGTTTTGTTAGCCGGCACATTGGGTAATTCTTGAAAGCTCCGAGGTGATTCCAGGGCCGAACCACTGGGTCCAGATGGGAACTTTGCAAGAACACCCTAAGCCGCTGGGAGTCCGGTGTTTGCTTCCTCACTCAGCTTCTGCTAAGCAGGCAAATTTCGGAATGCCACATCCTAGTTAGCCTTTGCCTTTTTATATTCTGAGGTCACAGAAGGCTAAAGCCTGCACCTCAGGGGCTTTTTCCATGGGCTTCCCTAGGACCATCTTAGAGAATCGTGGCAGGCCGTGCTCAATGCAGTAATAAATTACGCTGACTGGCCGTAGGTTAGCCAAAGTAAGACTTGACTTGTAAGTTACGTTTTCTTCAAGTTCTTCCATTCTAGGTTTTGTCTTCTGAGGTATTATGTTTATTTTTAGTTGAAGTTCAGTTTAAGATTGTATTCTGACTTTCTTGGGAAAGTATAAAATTAGGAATTGTGCGACTCTGAGAGTCCTCAGCTTGGAGCTGCAGGTTTTCCCGTCTGCTAGGTGCTGGGCCAGAGAGGTGAAGCCCGTTGTTTCAGCTGTGTAGGGAGCTGAGTCCTGTACGCTGGGACAAGCTTCACTGAGAACATAAGGAAAACACACCGCAGGGCGATGGGGACGCTTCTCCTTTTCTCCTGTGATGCTGACTAGCGCTTTCACCCAAGTGCTGTTGTATCAGGCTGTCACCTAAGCCATATGAGGTTTAGATCTACCAGTAGGTGGTTTCTCTGGCGTTTTACAATTTCTGAGCAGTCATTTATTTTGGTTTCCTTTATAAAGAGAAACTGCCAATGAATTGTGAGTTTACTGACTGGAAATTGTCCCCAGGGGATGTCTATAGGGAGCTGATAGTGTGAAATTGAAATTATACATTAAAGTAATACCTATACATGAAACTCATGTGTTGTAGAACATTTAAAAGAAATAGGGCCAGCAGTGAGTCTTCAGAAGCGGCATGACAGATGAGTGAGTTTGGTAGGACGGGGGTAGGGAGGAATGATGGGCATATTTGGAACAGATGTGCAGCCAGTGTTTTGAGCTAACCGTGTATCATTCCAAAGATGAGATGTTGCACGTGAACTAGAGCCTTACTGATGAAACCTTCTTATGTGTAAAGACATTAGAGCATCCCAGTTGAGAGATTCAAGAGGAGTAGGTCTTCTAAGAAGGCTGTAAACAATCTCATAAGCAGTTGTAATTAATCATTCCCCTGAAGGTGATTAGAAACACTAATACCAGTGCTTCTACTGGAGCTTGTAGTTTTTTAGTTTTCTGCAAGAATTTCCTTGGACTAGAAGAATCAAGGATGTAAACACTGAACAGAGGAATTTCTTGTGCAGATTCAGGAGAGAGAAGATACCCATAGACCTGGGATTTAATCTTAACAGAACACGGTATTCTTTGGTGAAGAATAAGAAAAATACATAGTTGGTTATTACTATTGACTTACAAATCTCTTAAGTAGATGCTCGACAAAATAGCTGCCAGTATGTACAGAAAATCTGAAAATTTTGTTTATTAATCATACTTGAGCTCTGAACAAGTTGCCTGTGTACTGATACCTTTCTATTAAGAAGCTGGGGAGGGGGGAGAACAAGCTGGCATACTGTATAATCTCATTTACTAAAACTCCAGATAAGAAGGAAATTTTCCTTGGTGAGATTTATCTTAGTTCAGGAAATTATTTCGTAATCTTTGTTCCCTATAAGAAGGGAATGCTGTAGCCCCGACATCTTTTAGAATGCATTGCCATCGTTGGCACAGCCGACTTTGCAAATAGGTTGCTTTGCCTCCTGCCAAGGAAGCCTAGAGGGAAGGTGTAGTTTTCTTTTGTTGCTGTATGGATATTGAAGCGCTCCATGTCTTGTTTTCTTGGGGCTTGTTTTGTTTGTTTGCATTTCTTATCTATGGTGAGCTAATAACTGGAGAGGATGAGTAGGGACCGTATGTTCTCCACACTGGGTTTTCTCAGTCTGGAAGGAAATGTAGACATAGTTAAAAATTGACCTTAGAGTTGGGACTGTTATTGCAGTGCTTGGACATTATGCCTGGTGAATAATATTGATTCCATTGCTCTCTAATATAAGCCCTGTATTTATTTTTTACTCATGTGAATTAGTCCTCATAACTGGAAATGTCTTGTTACCTCAATCCTGGCCTGTCTGATTGACAGTATAGTAGCAGCAGCCTCTTCTAGAGCACAGTGATAGAAACCTGGCTGAAAGAAAGTCATGATATGTGCGGACTGTGCAGGAAGTGGTGTTTGTTCCCGTGTTTTCCTTCTTTGTGGGTACATTTCACTGTTTGCTGAGCTGCGCATGGCCCATTCTACACCAGAAATGGTAGGTGCGCTTAGCCACACAGTGTTTGCAACATAAGCAACTGCGACAGAAGATTCTGTACCCGGTACTGTTCCCAGTCTCTTCAGTCAGCAAGGGCCACAGAGTGACCCTGAATCTGGGCTGAACAGCCAGCGAGGGTGGCAGGCAACCCATGGGGGCACCTCAGCCAGCTTCCTGTGAAGCTAGCTTTCTGTTAGCTGAGTTTCTTCCAGGCTCCGCCATTTCAAACTGCAGGTAGACAAGGTAATTGCCACACCAGACTTGCTAAAAATGCTTTGCTTGTAACATTTTATTTACAATTATATTTATATTTCTCAGTTAATAAGAGACTTTATTCTAGTAAAGTGTAGTAAGGTTCAGAAGAGATGTCTTTATGTAAAAGATGCAAAATTTTATATGTTATACCATTATGTCCTACCTACTTGCAATACCAGATATGGCACACACAACACACAATTCAGTGGACTCCTTCCGGACCTGTATTTGTCAATGAATAATAAAAAGATGGTTTGACACTATTCATTTCCCATGTTTTCCCTTCTTTGGATCAGTGTATCCTTCAGTACTTGGCGCTACAATTTTTGGTTTTTTCAAAACCTGCCTGTATCTTCTGTTGTTTATGTTCATCAGCTCAGAAGCATTTTGCAAAGAAAAATTGTAAGTTGTTCCCTCATTTAAAATTCGTAAAGCCTATCTCATGTCTGTGTGTTCAGAAACAGGTTGGGGCAGAGGAGTTCTTTGTGATTTCTAAAACCAAGCTGAAAGAATTCCTCCAAGGTCCTGGGATCTCACTTTGAAAAAACTCCTCTGAGTAATGGTAAACAGTGAATTAATGAAACATCACAATCATGGCTAACAGTAGAGTCAGTTTAACTTCCAGTGTTCTTCTCCTCCTTGATGAGACTATACAGCTAAGGTTGAATTTGGCCTTGGCCATGAGACAGGGCACATGGGAGCTTATCATGACCTGTCACTCCAGCCCATGTGGTGGCAGTTTGCTGCAGCTTGAAATGAGACCATTCAAGGTTTCTGTTGCCATGTCACTGGATAATGCCAGTCCAGGGAGCAGAGTGTCTGTACTTCTAGCTTGTAAGCCCAAGAGGAGGCGCACACTCCTGGGGTGTGAGCCAGGATGTGCGTAGTTTCATTGACCCTTTCTCATTGAAACTGTGGCTATCATTTAATTGCCATTCACTTGACATTTATGGAATGGAGATTGCCCTATGATCAGCCTCCCTGGAAAGAAGTACATATTTTACCTCACTGAAAAAGTAGAACTGAAGAACCACTCAGTTGATTATGGATCCAGTCTAAGTAGAATGGAGATCTGACATATTCTAAGGTGCCCATCATAATAACGTCCCCAAAGCAGGTTCTGGGTATAAAGCTCAGCAATTTCGAGGTGATACAGCCTATGTGAGGACCACTATGAGTCCTGCTTTTATTTGGTAGTAAAACTACACATACCTATTTCTATTGCTTATGCAAAACCAAAGAGAGAGTTTAAGTGCTTACATTGGGCACGGAACATCGCATAGCTGCTTAAAAAGATGAAAAAAAACCCCAAGATGGTAGGGATCTGTGTCCTTGGGGAACACATAAAACATATACGCATTACAGTACCTTTCCATTTACTGAGACATATCTGACACCAACAGCTGAAGAGGAAAGGATTACTTGGCTTATGGTTTGAGAGAGTTCAGTCCGTGGTTGTCTGGTTCAAAGTTGAAACAGCATGGGGGCAGGGCATGGCAGAGAAAAGCAGGGAAGGCAAGGAGGACAAGAATACACCCAGAGACCACCCCTCTGACCAGACCCCATGTCTGAGCATGTAAGGCTTTTGGGAAACATTTTAGATTTAAACCATAACAAGTGTTATTTAAAGGTAACTATAAAGTACAGTATAAAGTAGCTTGAGTATATAAGATGCTTCAAATTGTAGGAGTGGACAGAGGAATCTGGGTAGTGGATATAGATCAAAAGGAAAAGGTAGTGGCTGAGCCCTGGGACGCTGCACAGAAGGGACTGCAAAGGAAAGGAGTGGTCAGTGCAGAAGAAAAACTCAGGGAGCATGGTGAGCCAGGAGCAAGGGATGTGAAATGCCGTGAAGAACGAGTACAGAGAAGGAGAATTGATGCATTGAGGTGACTTGCTGTGGCCTTGCTGAAATCAGTTTCAGTGTAGAGATAGGGTGAGCTTGTAAGTGGAGCAGGTTACCCGGAATGGGAGATAAGCAAATACACAAGCGTGCCTAACTCGGGATATAGACATTGTAGAGGAGTGGAAAAATAGCCTGGGTGGGTGGGGAGGGAGGGAGAGAGAGAGAGAGAGAGAGAGAGAGAGAGAGAGAGAGAGAGA